GCTCTCACGCACACAGAACAAGCTGGACACCGTAAGAGACCAGCTGCGTAAGTACCCAAGCACAACACGCCATTTGTGGCTAAGCAGATGCACCTTTCCACCAAATGCTAAGCCGGCAAAAGTGCGCCACATTTCTGTAGTGGCCATGGGAGTTGAGGTCGACGCCTACGCTGTGGACTTCAGCAAGACCACTAAGGAGCAGTGGGACCACATCCAGAACATGGTCATGACCAAGAAGATTGGAATTCTTGTCAACAACGTCGGGGTTTGCCACCCAACCACAGCCACTTTCATCGAGGAATCGCCCTCCGTGTGCAAGCAAATGATCGACGTGAACATCGTCACAATGATGAACATGACCCGCTATATTGTTCCCCAGATGCGTGCGCGCAAAAACGGCTGCATCCTCAACATCGGGTCGTGGACCAGCATGAGGGCAATGCCGTTCCTCTCCGTCTACGCCGGTACAAAGGGATTCGTCAAGACGTTCTCGCAGAGCCTGGCATACGAACTGAAGCCCGAAGGGATCACCGTCGAGCATGTGTTCAGCTTCTGGGTGTCGTCAAAAATGTCCGGGTATAAGACAGCCAGTATATCGATCCCATCGGCAGAGACATATGTGAGGGCTGTGCTGACGCATATCGGGAGGATGTGCGGGACGCTGGAGGGCTTCTCCACTGTGCCGTACCCTCCGCATAGCTATCTGGCATTTGTGGCATGCACGATGTGGGACTCGAGGATTACGCCGCCGATACTATTCAGTAAGCAAAAAAGAGATGCTTGCCAGAATGCATGTTTCTGCCTCATTGAAGCGCCAGTTTAAAGGCATGTGCACGTTTTCTCTTGGTGTGTGTTTCTCTGTAGGCATCGCAAACAATCTGTACAAGCTGTCTGAAAAGAAGCGCCAAAAGTTCAGAGAAAAGCAGCTGACTCTTCTAGCCGAATAAACACCGATTCCCACTTTCTACCATCCATTTCCATTTCACCACCTTTGCTTTCAACGACGCATGGATCCCAAACAAATCACAAGTCTAAATAAATGAAGCTTAACAAACAAACAAAAAAAGGCATCATAGAAGAAGCCGTCGTTGACAACGTGACAGATTTAGTGCGTGAACCCGGACTCCTCGAGCTCCTTGACATAGCCAATGTACGACTTTTTGAAAATAACACCGCGGTACACGCCCTTCTCGACCACGGTCAAGTACGAGACACCCAGTCTTCCAAGTAGGTTGGCTACAAGTTCAATCGGCGAGTTGGTGGCAATGGTCAATGGCGTTTGGTCCACGAACGGCGTAAAGTCGTTGGGCCGGTCCTGGAAGTACGGCATCGAGATATTGGCAGTCTGCCTAGAAGGCGGCACTGCTTCGTCTTCTACCAAGCCCTCTTCCTCATCAGCCTCAGAGTGGTGGTGGTCGCTGTCCGATAGAGTTCGTCCACTGCCTGGCCTGCTGTTGGGCGACGAGACGTCGGACCGGATGGTCTGCTCGCTTGACTGGTATGAGGGTACGGATTGTGGAGCTGCGGAGGAGGAATCGAGCAGCGGTCTAGCCGAGTCGCCAGCATTTGGTGTTGCATTAGCGTCGCTTGCAGCATTGGGGCGGAGCGTCCAGTGGAGCCACTTCCACCTGCGCTGCAGCTTTGCCAGTGGCTCCTCCTCGCTGGCCGCCACCTCCACTCGGTCCTTTCTCTTCCCCCTTGAGTCGCCCTTCGCCTTCCTCCCCTTCTTCTTCGTATACTCAACCGGCGTCCTATAATGCGGTATCGCCAGCGGGTTGTTCGAAATATAATCCATCTGCCACAGCGGGTTGTTAAAGAAGCACACCGTGCCCTGGTCCAATTCCCGGCATCTCGATATGGCATACTCCAGCTCTGCACACGCGATCCAGCCCAACAGATGGCCCCTCGCATTGACTACGGGGAACCCGCCATCCGCCAGCCCCCTGGACGACAGACGCTGCAGCTTGTCCGTCAGCAAGCCCAGGGTGTTCTCGTTCTCGTAGTCCACGCAGATGGTCTCCAAGTCGGCCTGCATGAGCTCGGACGCAGTCCGCCTGGTGTGGATGTACTGCGTCTTGGTGTCGAAGTAGGGGTGTCCGGCGTGCTCGAGGAGCAGGTCGTAGATGCCGCTGGGACTGAAATAGTCGGCAATCCAGCGTGCAGTCATCACACCCACAAGCACGGGCAGGGTGTAGATGAGGTTGCCTGTCAGCTCCATCAGGATCGCCACCACGGCTATTGTCGTGTGTGTGGCTCCCGTCAGCGTGGCGCCGGCGCCAACCAGAGCATAGATGCCCGGAATCACACAGCGCGAGTTGGCCGGGCACTGGGCAAACACCGAGTGAGTGGCGTATTCCCGAGTCAGGTACTCCATGTACGTGCCGACAATCCTTCCAAACACCGCCCCAATCGACATGCTGGGCAACACCAACCCTGAGGGCACTTTCATGCCAAACGTAATGATGGCAAACGATGCCCTGTTGAGCAGCGCCATTGCTAGGAGCTCCAGCATCGGCAGGTAGTCGGATAGCCTGCTGCCCGACACACACAAAAGGGACTCGACCCCGTCGTCCATCTCCTCGCCATACGGCGCACTTTCGCCCTTTGCGGGGCATTCCTGGAACAACGAGCTAACCAGTTCGCCGAGTCCGATGCGGGTGAACGGGTTGCGGTAGCTCAACCACAGCGTCAGCGCCGTTATACTGACGACCTCGATGATGGGGTACTGTCCAATCCACGTTGACTTGCGCACCCTGTTGACGGCCATATTCAGACGACAAAACAGGGCGCCGTACAGACCACCAAATATGCCAATGATGACAAAAGGCACCATCTCAAACCAATGGTAGTCCATGTCATACGTGGTCTGGAACAGGACGAGCTTGCCAGTGCCGAAAGGATCATAGGCCTTCAACACGAGGGCAGCTACCAGCGCACACGTTAGGCTGCGCAGCATGGTCTTGTTAGGGAAGAAGTACGACACCTCCTCGAGCGAGAAGAGAACGCCGCCGATAGGCGCCCCAAACGCCACGCTGACGCCAGCAGCCGCGGATGCCGAGATGATCTCGCGCTTCTTTGCCTCGTTCTTGTAGTACTTGTCGAATATGCGTGTGGAGATGTTGCCCAGGGAGGAGGCGATCTGCACCATGGGTCCTTCTTTGCCTGCCATGATGCCAGAGGCGCAGCAGAGGATGAGGCCGAATGTCTTGACTATGAGAATGCGCACACCCAGAAACCCGTGGATGACGAATCCAGCCAGGATGGACTTGACCTCGGGGATCCCAGAGCCGGCGCCGTAGTACGCTAGCTTGACGGTGGGCGAGACACTGGTTTCAACAGACGAGGAGACGCCGTGGTTGGCAATAGTAACACGGGTAGCCGAGCGCACGACCAGGATGGCTGCCACAAGAGTATACAGCGTGCCAACGAGGACAAAGATGATGCGGCCAGACAGGAACGCCTGCGACTTCCACGTCTGCCAGTACTCGCACTCAATGGCGCTCTCTCTGCAGCACGCAGTTTTTGACATCCGCCAATCTGCCCTGCAGTACCCGGTCTTCCACCCCGCAAGCAATTCAGTCCACTCGGAAATGAACCCAGCGAAAAGGCCGCACAAGATACCCACCAGCACCACGAGAAGCCACCCTTGCATTGGATCCCACACGCGGTTCAGCCACCACCCACGAGTCCCTCCTACGGCCCTCAGTGACCGCAGTCTGGCTTGTTCGCGGATGTCGTCGTGGACCCAGTCGATGGTGGTGTAGGAGCTGTACCACGCACGGACGCCCTTGCCTTTGTTCTTCCGCCCAGCATGCAGGCCACTCATGCCCAGCAGGTTCTCGCTATCGTAGAGCACCGACCGCACGCGCGGAATCAGCCACGACGTGGGTGCTTCGTCCTCGGCGCGAAGCACGGGGAACGGGATTTGCCTGCTATGTGACAACGGCGTGGCTCCATCATACTGTGTGCGGGCTCTTTCTAGCCCTCCTTGTGCGCGTCCTCTAGCATCGCTGTCGTCGCTGCTGCAGTAGCCATTGTACGCAGACACTGACCGCCGCAGCCTGCCCGATGATCCGGAGGCAGCTGATGGCCTGTGCGGAGACACGGGCACGGACGATGGGGCTGCTACCCCATCGCTGCTATGTGGTTGCTGCTTCTGAGAGGGAGCCTTGGCGTGAGGGTTGCTCTCCATTTAGGGTATAAAAACGAATTTCCAATGTAAAATAAAATAAAATGCTCAAATGCCGTGAAAGTAAGTGCTGGCTGGCTTCAAATAAAAGTGGCCGACGCCTTGCAGCCAGAGAGCACTGAGAAACCGCCAAGTCACAGAAGTGTGCAGGCCCGTGCGTGTATGACGATATGTGGGGAAGGCTGTGCCTCCGTTCGTTACAATGGGGCGGGGGTGGAAGCGGAGAAGGGCAACTAATGACAGAAATAATGGAAAAAGAGAGTGCACCAAGGGTAGAAAGAAAACGGCAGACAGGCAAATGCGGAAAGAGAAAGGAGGTTGCTTCGGTATCAAATACGCCAAGCGTCAACGGGCAGCCGGGGCAGAGCAGAAAAGGGTGGCGTGCTGCGCTTCTGGCTGTGTTTGAAGGGGGAGCGTCCGGTTTCCCGTGGAGCAGCAAAAAAGCCGGACTTGCAGTGGACATTTGTTTGTTTACAAGTGTGCTCTGTCCATTCTGGTTCCCAAGCCCTCCCCACAAGAGGCAAATCCGCCTTTGTGCTTCACGTATATGGAGAACAAGCCCGCATGAAGGAGCCGTCTGCAAAGAAGGAGCTGCCCATTTGAAGCAGTATGATATCATCCATCCGCCACCACAAACTGCTGCTTGGCGCGTGCACCATCATTATCATTTTTGCCGAGTGCAAAGCTGCCACTGCGCTCCCCACTTTCCAAGTGCGCCAGTGTACACACGCGCGCAAGGACCACGGGGCCACGCTCACCGGATCCAGCCAGCGAAAAAAGTCACATGCAGTGCTGCCCCAGCAAAAAGACGTCCGAGAACCCGGAATTGAACCAGGGACCTAGAGATGACAACTACCGCACGCTTCCGCACAGCCACTACAGTCTCCCGCTCTGCCAGCTGAGCTATTCTCGGTTTCCTGGCCCGAGACTTTTTCAATCGAAGTAGATGGTATTCCTCAGCAGGTTTAAAAGCTCAGCCAAACTAAACTAAGCCTCTCTTCTCCTGGACGCTCTACGTCCTAGGTTTAAATGCTTGCCGAGTCTGACACTTGTATTCCTCATGGCCTGAACGTCGGGCGGCTTATCGCTCCACTCAGCTTGCTGGTCTATATATCCTTTTGTCAGATCCATCACAGGCCTGTTGTCGTGTTTTCGTGGGGGCCAGAAGGCGCGGTTGCTCGAATGTGGCATTAAGGGTCTGAATTGACATGGATCTATGAGATCCTGCTCGGTTTCTAGCCTAGAAAGTTGGGTAATCGGATGTGTTGAGAGTACTGTAAGGCGATGAGAAAGGGGGCTTAATGGGTATAAAAACAGCAGTTGAATGCGAGGATCGAGTCAGAAGCATCATCGAAGATCTGGTCAAAGTCCCTGGACGCTGAAGTTGTTGCTTTTCTTGCTTTTCTCTTAACCAACGCCAATGTCAAGCATGCTGCCTAAGCAAGCCATCGCCACCCCCAGCGGTCGAACCTCTCATGAGGAGAAACACAACATCCAAGCTGGTCTTCTGGTCCTCGTCGAGAATAGCAGCATAGTGAATCACACGAGATACCTCTTCTGCATTTTGGATATGTTCATCGGGAACCCCTCTTTTTGCCTCACAGGCATTATGCTCCAGAAGGCAAGTCAGAGCGTTGGCATATCGTGTGCTGGATCTTATGCACACATTAACTGCGTGGTTCTTTGTAGTGTGGAAGAGCAAGCGACTTCAGCGGTGCTGCGAGTGGATGCCACCTTGGACTGATAATTCTCATGTATCCTGTGGAAAAATATAGTCAAATGTACGCCATGTTTTTGATGGGTGGATGCAAATAATATATTCTCAAGAAAAGCCACAGCCGCAATGAAAGCGATCCACGGCAGACCAAACAGCAGCAAAGCTATTTCTACTCTTTGCTCCTGTACCTCTTACAACTACTTGTACACCTAGATCGAAGCCACTACTTAGCGGCCGAATCTCCGATGGAAACCTCTCTTGCAAAGATGCTTCCCCATACGCTGCCAGCTTCTCGGTACATGCACCACAAGATACAGAAAGATGCGGCACTGCCATCCTCAGCGACACTGCCATCGTTTCAGCTGCACGCTGCTTCATAAACAAGATAAAATGCGGTATTGCAATAACCACCGCTCCCCAAAATCCTTCAGGAAAGTGCCCTTGTCAAATCAATGACCATTTATACTGGTAAACGCCTCCATCATTAGATGTCTTGAAAACCAAAAATCAAGGCTGTGCGTGCCTGTGGCTGTAATGCGGGAATCAGTGGTTTCAAGTCGAGCAGTAGTTCATGGATTTGTAGCGAGAACAGACCCACTTCCAATACCGACGCGGTGTTTGTATCCGCACGCACCCCGGCAGCTGCATTGGTTTTTATACATAGCACTACTCGCATAGACATGCGTGCATACTATTAAGCAATGTCATTTCATTAATCTCAAGCACTACTCGCACCAATAAAATTTGCTATGAAAGCGTAGTTTAAGTATAAGCGCCATTTTATCTGGAAAGCAGCGCATGAATCAGCGTCGCTGATTTCAAAGATTATCTAGAAGGACGAGCTACAAAGGGCATTGGCTGTAAAGAAAAAAATCATGACAAAGCAAACTTCACTCTGGCTGTCAGGCACAGGGGTGGAGTGAGTGGGTGAGTACGTATGTGCTGTTGATTCTGAGGTGCTCATGTCTTGATGTGGCGGTGCGTTCCACGTCATTTACAAGAAATTACCACCTGTCGCAGAGAAGCTCAGCACTGCAGCTGGCTCTGACGAAATCAGCGTATATCGACAATCCTTGGGATGCGAGAAGGCTCTTTATAAAAACACGACAGCACAATTTTGAAGAAATTGGTATGCACGGCACTGAAGAATATATGCCAAACGGCATGGATTCTGGATTTTCAGCCTAGATTTCTTCTATATACGGGTCTAGGGCGCATATAAGCGGCCAGAACCAGTGGATCTGCCTGCAGCGAGCATAGCGATCGCACCGACACAATGGCAGCAGAAATCAGCAGGGCATTGAAGGTTTACCACGAGTAGAGGCATTGCATGCGTTTGTTTACACATTTGGCACAGGCAGGTGAGGCATGCATTCGCGGTTCCTCAGGCATTCAATTTCTGCTGAGAAGTTGCAGAGAAATCATCAGGAGGAGCATATGCGAGTTTAGACTGGCGTAGAGCCTCAAGATAGTGCACCGGATAAAGAGGCAGTTTTGGTGGCAGTGCACAGAAGCTTCCTGGTATAAAAACCGCATACCACGGCCGATACCACTCAGCCTAGCCATCACCACATCCTACCTACCCATTCTCTTCCCGAACTGCCCACCTCTCCACCCTCAGTATCTACCCGAAACACCGACGCATTCCTCACTTTCGTGAAAATGAAGTTCCTGCCCCTTCTCGCCCTTGCATCCACTGCTTTCGCTCTCCCAAGCCCCGCCGGTCAACTTGAAGTCCGTATCATCAACGGCAAGCCTGCTCCCAAGGGATCCTATCCCTACCTTGTCAAGCTCACCATCGGTAGCAAGGGGGATGGCAACTGTGGCGGAACCATCCTCAGCGACACTACCGTTGTTACCGCTGCCCACTGCCTCGTAGACTCGGAATCTGGTCGTGTTAACCCCCCCGAGGAGGTCTCTGTGGGTTTTGGTGACAACAACGTCACCCTTCAGCAACAGGTCAAGGCAAACAAGGTGTACATTCACCCTGGGTACAATTCGTCCACCGTGGTCCATGACATTGCTATTATCACTTTCCCAAAGATCAAGTTGGATGGTGACAAGGTCCAATCGATCCCGATTTACAAGGGCAAGCTCCCTCCTGGCACTGCCCTCACTGCACTGGGCTGGGGAAAGACAAACACCGAGCTCACTTTCAATAAGCTCTCTGATGTGCTGCTGAGCACTACTGTCAAGACTGGAAACATCGACGACTGCAAGAAGTTCCTCCCCAGGTTCGAGTCAAGCGACGGCCTGGAGATCTGTACCGAGAACAAGCTGACTCCCAACACTGACGTCTGCCAGGGCGATTCCGGCACTGGCCTTATCATCAACGTCGATGGCAAGCCCTACCTTGCGGGACTGGTCAGCTATGGATACGGATTTGACGCCAAGGGAGAGTTGGACAAGACCTGCGCTCTTGACAGCGGTTTTGGTATCTACGCACACGTGAACAGCTACCTCGACTTTATCAACGGCGCGGCTGGCAAGCCCAAGTGCAGACACCGCTAAGTTGCTTCCTTGTAACTGTACCCTTTGTTCTGAACTTCAGTTTCAACAATAGTACCAGCATTAATGACCTACAATGCTCTAGTGCATAA